AACCTGAATTACAATGAGAGATAAACAGAATATTTACTCATCCCTTATGAGCTGCTGCTGATATGTAAATTTATTCTTCTACTTTGCACAAATACACTTTTGAGCTACTGCTTAAACACTTCAAGGTCCTTAGCCAAACAGTTTTAATGATGCCTCCAATATTATGAAAGTGTGACATTTGATGAATACCTTGTGCAGTTGTGATACTGCAAGAAAATGTAAACAACACACAAAGAAAGCCCCCTGCATTCAAGTCATCATGCAACACCTAGATAATTTATAATTTTACTGTTTATATCCATCTTGACATTTTTTTTTATCTGCCAAAGGCAGGTTTCATTTGGATTCTTAATCTGAGATTTATTTGGATCTGGAAGTCATAGCTAGAGTTCCCACAGGAAATGGTCCATCCACCAACAGATTAAATGGCAGTCCGGCAGTTGTTAAGGGAGCTTTGCATTTAACACACATGCATCCTCACTCAGTCAGCACTGTGGAGAAAAATTAAAGTAGTAACCCAGGTTTAGGAACAATGTAGCTAAAAAGTCCCATATTTGCTGAATGACAAAGGGTTATATAGCAGCATTTTCATTTTATTATTCGTGCTTGAATTTCTTGTTTGCTTTGTTGAGTCTGCTGACGAATACTAATAAATGCCTGCAACAATCCAGATGGGAGATGCCTGGCAACAAAGCTATGCGGTGGACCTCCGTGATCTTCTCCAGTTCACAACCTGACCTTTTGAAAAATTGCCTGGGCTAAGCTGCAGAATTTGGGTGTAATAGTTATTGTTAACTCCAGCTTTAGGATTTATTAATTTGTGTGATCAAGACTTACCTATACTTCAAAGTTTCAAAAGACCAAACACAATCATCCATCCATTAGAACCAACATTGTGTTTCATTGAATTTGTTCTCCCCCTTTTTACTGTCTGTCTAGCAATACTGCTATTTTGATTGTATGTGTGCAGAATCTCAAAAATGCCTTTTAAAGAACAGGCAAAGAGATCTATACAAGTAAAAGTGAATTCTTCCTGCAATCTAAGGCTGGAAAATAATATCATGTTAATGAATTGCAAAAATTTAAGCAAATACCTAAGGAAGCCAGTGATATTTACACAGTAAGTGCTTAATGATCACAGTTGACATTGAGTACTAAAATTATGATTAACTAGCTTTGAGAAGAGGTTATGCAATGCTGTATCAAACAAACTGGCAGGAGAAGGATGACACTGTAGTTCTAGGCTGGAGTTCTGTGTGTGCTGACTAAGGAGCCGACCCCACTGAATATTGCAGGACTGACTTCTGAGTAGGCATGCATTAAGGCGGCAGCAAAATTTACTGAACAGGAGAAAGGCTACTGAATTATCTGATGTCTCTGGGAAGGGGGCACTGGCCTAAACTGGAACTCTCCAAGGCTCCACCGCCTGTCCTTTGCACTTCCTTCCCCAGAGATCCTCATAGCAACCAGTCTTTTCCTGCTGCTCCTAAGAGTTTTGGGATCTCTCCAGGCTGGGGTGGAGAAAAAAGTTCTGCTTCCCACAGGCAGCCTCCTACAGATCATAAGGGTCTGGCAGGTCAATCTGTTCAGGCAGGTGACCCTTGCAGGAGCACATGGCTTAATTTTGTACCCTGACTTTATAAGAAAGCAACAGCATTCAAGCCTCTCATGTGTAGACCTCAGCAGTGAGAAAGGTTGCATGTCTCACTCTTCAGGAATTCCTAAAATTGTCTTGCGAATGTCAATGGCTGTGCACCTCTTCCTTTTGTATTGTTAGTGTAGTTTCTATTATTATTACTAATATGATGGAATATATATTGCTGTTCATGTACACAGTGCTTTACAGAGAAATACAGGCAGCAAAGACAGGTTTTTGTCAGCAAAGGAGCTTCCTCTCTGCATGTCAACAAACAGGCTGGGGAGCAAAGGGGAAAAGGAAGGATTGCCATGAATGAATATGTGCTGGTGCAGTTACAAGTGCTTGATGCTTCCGTCCAGGATTTGAAGCAAGCGTAGGCCAAATGTGAAAATGCTGAAAGTAGGACGCCAAAGATACCCTCCTATAAATTATTGTCAGGGAATGAATTCAGAATCAGTTTGGCATGTTCATTTTGGGAGAGGATTGTGGTACAGCCTTCTCAGCTCCAAATTGAATGAAGGAACAGTTTATTTTTTATTTGAAACATCTCTTGTCAATTTGCTTTTCACATGTGAAGCTTATGTATAAGCGTTCACTGTGAAGGCAGCTCTTGAAGGAGGGACGTTTTCAGATGAGCGATCCCACTTGGGCAGCTCAAACGGTGAAACTGATCTTGGATGGAACAGATTTAGAGGACCCCAAAAAAATATTGACTCAGTTCATACAATCAGAATATGGTTAATAATCCACAGTGTCTTGGTAACCGTCCACATGTACTGCTGGACTTACCCCCGGTGGGACAGCTTGCCGTGTCATTCAAACCGAGGCTTGTATGGCATGGCAGCAAGTAATACACATCTAAAAAGACATAATTCAGAAAGAAGTTCTGTGCATTTCTGAATAACGTGGAAGGCCGTGATCAGGCGTCTTCTCTGCCTGGTGCTAACTGTGGATGAGCTACAGCTCTTACAATTCCTTATCTTTAAACTGTCATTGGGCAGAACAGTCCTAAATACAAGCACACCTTCAAGCAGAGGATTCCTCTCCGCAAAAGAAGACATACGGCCTCCCTAGCACAGAATTTGACTTCTCTTTACACAAACTCATTGTGATAACAAGATAACCACTCTAAAGGCACAGCGCTTTGGACATTTAGACAGAAAAAGTGCTACCAGCATGCACTGGCCAAAATGGCACCCTGAAGAATGCTGAGTATTACGGGGCTTTTGCACCCAAAATTTACTAAAATGACAGGTTTCATTTTTTTCTTTTTAGTAATCAGGAGCAGATCCAGCTTCATATCTGGATGCTTTTTAAATAGTAAAACACAGGTTTTGAATTGGGGCTTGTATTTCTTGTAGTCTTCTGACACAATACTGTATAGGTCATCCTTGTTCTGTTGATTCTTGTATCTTATTACTTAGCTTATTACTAGGGTTTTGGAAGTAACAGAGATTGCTAAGGCACATTGAATAGAAAGGGAGAAATAAGGTGCACAGAGCACTTCTGTAACAAGGAAATCTTGCTAATCCTTGATCAGCAGTCAAAAGATAACATTTTATTAAGCCTTAACTATATTGCCCTTAATAACTGGGTACGTTGTTGTTGCCTGGAATGGGTAATATTATTCTGTTTTCTGATTAAACTGATAAAGATGAACCATGACAAAAATGTTCCCTCAATGCATTTGCTTGCTACTAGTAGGGTCCCAAAGTCCATGGCAGCACGATCTTGTAAGAGCGTTTGTGTGCAAGTTTTGGTGTATCATAAAAACCATAAGAGCTTACATGGATACAGTTATTAAGTTGAATGCCTTCCAGAATGGTTCTAAAATCTTATTTATGTATGTATGTATGTATTCATTTATTAACAGTATTTCGGTAGCAGCCAGCAACTGACCATTCCCGGGGTGGCTAACAAGAAAAGGTTAAACCATATCAGTGAAAAATAAACCCATGAAATCTGAAGGTGTACAACGATAGAGGTTGCCTTATGCTGAACAGGATTTCTGGTGCATCTATCTCAGTACTGTCAGCACTTGAACTGTGGTGGCTCTCAATATAGGCAGGAATCTTTCCTAGCATTCCTGGAGACCAGATCCTCCATGCAGAGCAGGTGCTTTAATACTGCTGTCACACATCCCTAAGTGAATGTGAAAGCTGTTGTATACTGGGCAGACTCTTGGTCCATCCAGCCTCGTATTGTTTATACCAGGGGTGCAGAATCTCATGTCTTTGGACCATCTGGCTCACCTATGCAGCCCTTTGGGATTCTCCATAAGGCCATGCACCTCTTCCCCAGTTGCTGATCATTTGGCAGCTGTGCGGTTTTTACCATTCAAAAGGGTTGGAATCCCTTTGCCTCAACTTTGACTTGAGCAGAAAGCAGCTCCCAAGAGCATCTCCAAAGTTGAAATCAGCACTAATGCTTTGGTTTACACTAACCAACAGAAGCTCTTTAGAATTTCAGACATCTTTGCAGAGATGCCAAAGTCTGGATCAAGAATTTATCTTGTAGTCACCCTTCCTCACAGGTGGAATTTTATGAAAGTGACATCTTCCAGTTGTAGTTTTCTTACGTTTTTTTCACTGGGAGTGATATAATTTACATTTCCCTCCCTGGAAGTGGAACACCAGTTTTGGAAGGGTGAGGAACACAGGTCCTTCATGGGGCCAGAGTGATAGGATCCAAAATTGGATCTGCCCCACAATGGTCAGAGCTCTGTCCTGCACCTCAGAGAAGGACATCCTGCATTTTCTCTCATGTCTTCAGGGTGCATAGGACTGTGCATTAGTAGTTGTAATTGGCCTTAACCCTTCTGGGAGCAATGTGTTGAGGGAACTGAGTTCAGCAGGAATTCATGTATTTACATTCCTATAAACAGAAAACTGTGAACTTCCTTGGTGAACTGCTCCATGTTGCAGCTAGAAGTGTGCATAAAAACAAGTGCAACTTCCTTTGTGTGCTATCTTTCCACAAGCAAGAATGTATTTATCTTACATGGGCTGGCATTGGCTCATGCAACCAACTCTCTCATATTGTACAGGTACATGGAGTAACATGCTTTATGAATCTGAACAGTCTTAAGAGAGTTGTGCTCTGTGATTCTTTGTGTTTCAGCAGGCTGGGCATGTTTGAGAGCTCCTGTTCTCTGAAGGTTAGATGGGACAGTGCAGGCTCTGTGGATCCTCCCAGTCTCTAAAGCTGGCCATCTATGTTGAGGAAGCCCTTAGGGTTAAACTTTCAGATAGACTTACTTGTGATAAACATTTTAGTGCTATGCAGTGTAATTTTGAAGCTGCCTTACATTATTATTATTTGTTCTTAATCAAACTGTAAAACCCTTCTGTTTTCCCAATAGAAATTTTGAACATGGCGCAAAATTCTGAGCAACGGAGAGATGTCTCTTTCACCAGTTATCTGAATTTTAAAAGTCTTTCAGAGAGTTCACAACCAAAAGGAGGAGAAGCCACTCAGACAAACCCAGACCAAGTAAAGCCTCCAGATCAACCCAGTGATGTGTAAGTTGCTTATGGCCTAATTTCACAACTAAATAAGCTCAATGTCTCTTACACTGATGAAAGAGTATGATAAGCATGCTGTTCAATTTCAATTTTAAAAGATTTGGGATTTTCATTATCTTGGGAGAAGGCTTTGGGGAGTCAGTGAACTGTTAGGGACTGTTACAAGCATTAATGCAGAGGCTGAGACCACAGAATAGGAAAGGGGGTTCCCTTTATAACATTTCCGGAGGTGAGATTCTGATGTGTAAAGGCACAGTACTTTTTGCATGTGTCTAAAGACTAGATGATAGCCAGACTGCAATAGCATGTGGCAAGCAAACCTAGAAAATGCTTGATAAAATTTAAATAAAGCATAGTTTTGTGAGTAAAGTAGGATTATTGCTTTGTACCTCTCTGTAGAATTCGCCATCCAGGAAGATCTGGCTAGTATCTCCTTTTGTACATTGAGACACCAGGTTAAGTCTTTAAAGTAGGGTTTCAATCTTTCATGTGTGACTTTATTAATTTTTCTGCTGGCCGCACTATGGTTTTAATATTTTAAATGTCTAATATTGTATCAGTTTGTTACTTTTATTGTCATATTATTTCTTCATTGTTGTTTGGTTTTATGGCTGCAATTCGAAGGGCATTTGACAGTTGGGCAGTATACAAAAATACTTAGAAGAGAGAAATCAGGTCTGCCAGGAATTTAATAGTGATGTCTGGTAGGAAAAATGAGATATGTGGGAGATACACAGATACTTTGTGGTAACTGTGCAGTTACATACAGGTGGGACTTTGAACTTGTACAGAACATCTGCTGAAATCTATCACAGGGATGTTGAACTTCTTTCCACCTAAGTTGAGGGGAAGCAAATCTAGACAGCATACTAAAAAGCAGAGACATCACCCTGCCAACAAAAGTGCATATAGTCAAGGCTATGGTTTTCCCAGTTGTTGTTGTTATTATTATTATAACATTTCTATGCCGCCCCTTGCCGAAGCCTCGGGGCGGCTTACAAACACAATAAAATACAATAAAATACAAAAATAACAATATAAAATTAAAAATAACAATATAAAATAAATAAAAATATAAAATATAAAAGAAGTCGCCCTGGCCAGATAAATAAGCAAATATTGTTAACAATTAAAGTATGGCTGTGAAAGTTGGACCATAAGGAAGGCTGAGCTCCGAAGAATTGAGGCCTTTGAATTGTGGTGCTGGAGGAGACTCCTGCGAGTCCCTTGGACCGCAAGGCAATCAAACCGGTCAGTCCTAGAGGAGCTCAATCCTGACTGCTCTTTAGAAGGCCAGATACTGAGGATGAAACTCAGATACTTTGGCCACCTAATGAGAAGGAAGGACTCCCTGGCGAAGAGCCTAATGCTGGGAACAATTGATGGCAAAAGAAGGGGATGGCAGAGGATGAGGTGGCTAGATGGAGTCACTGAAGCAGTTGGTGTGAGCTTAAGTGGACTCCACGGTATGGTGGAGGACAGGAAGGCCTGGAGGAATGTTGTCCATGGGGTCGCGATGGGTCGGACACGACTTCATGATTAACAGCATTGCCCTTTTAACAGCTAAAAGTCTGATACATTTGGTACCGATAAACACTCGTTTTCTATAATAGATTGAGGATGTTATAACACCTGCAATGTTGAATGGGTTGCTTCAACAAAGCTTACATATAATTGCTAGGAAGTTGTAAGCTTTTCATACAAATAAATGAAAAACAAAACACCCTTTATGAAATGATCAGGTGCCTGTGGATGCTATGCTGGGGTCCCGTGTTTTAGAGATTTCAATACACTGTTCCCCTTACATGCAAACAGTATTATCTTTACAATACCACTTATAGCTGGCCAAGTTCTGGTCTGAATCCTTTTGGGATGATTCCAAACAGGAAGCTTTTATCAGGCAATCATCCTGCTTCAGATATAGAACTTCACAGAAAATCCAAATACATCTTCTATTTGTAACCTTCCTGGGTTTTTCCACTACTTCATCCATCCCTTTTCTTCCCTCAGAAAAATCTGTTAAGGAAATAAAGATGGAAAAGCTGCATGATGCTTTTGATTGGCAACACAAGCAACTTCCCATCTTTGAAACACCTTTCTAGCCTGTTGGCTTCCTTGAAGTCTATCATCCAGTACTGAACAAAGTACCCTAAATTTATTAAATGTTATTTATTTAGTAAATTCATAGTTGGTAACCAGTGAGTCCAACAGGACTCTCAGGATTAAAAATGATATATTGTACCTACCTAGTAAGATGGGATGGAATATTTGAGTAATGTTTTTCCATGGGAAATTTTTTACTCTTAGAAATGCATGGTTCTATACAATTAATTAGTGACATAGGTCAGGAGGCTATGCTGCCCATCCATAAGATGCACCCACTACTATTAACATGCTGTGAGCCAGCCACAGATTCCCTTCTGCAAGCAATATCTTCTGCCTGGGGAGAAACAATTGTGCAGTTCTAACAGAAACCCCCGAAACAAGCAGAACCCTCACGTAAGTTCTCTTGGCCTGCCCCATTCCAGAAATAAGTGTTTCTGCTCATTTGGGTCTGCTTAGAGAAGTGAAGGCACATATAAAAGAAAGAGAAATGAGGAAAAATAACTTACTTTTTAAAAAAGAAAACACTTTTGGGGGGTATTTTCTTTAAAAAATGTGGGAAAGCTTTTATTTTTAATCATTTTTCCCAGGCCTTCACCACTCAAGGCTTGCCCCAGAAGTGCAAAATCTACAGTTTGTGCTTTAGGTGCCACTTGTTGAAGGGAAGCAACAAGACTGGCTACACACTGGTGGTGTCCATTGGATACCAGTGTAAGCAGAAATCAAACTGGGCTACAAGTGAACTCAACATCCATCATTATCTCACCACAGCCTTAGGCAACTATCTGTAGAAAGCACAGAGCTTTCTTGGGCAGTGGTTATGTGGTGCTTGCCAGGAATGGAGTTCCATGCGTCTATATGTGCTGCGGAAGAGGAGCATGGCTCATGCTTGATTTCTGACAAGTGCCCCATGGATGCTGGGTGCACACATGAGGATCCACACCCTTAGTAGTAATGAACTATTGGTTGTTGGGTTATTGTTTTGTCTGAAGCCAGTCACAGTAACAAATCATAGTGAGCAACCCACATATACAATCCAACAACAAGCCATGGAAACCATGCTTGTTACCTCAGCTAGGTTCGGACAACCCCATGGTTCAACAACAAGCCACACTCATGCCTGAAGTGTGGGTTAGTGCATTATTTGAACCCACTACCTATAAAATAATGTTAGGCTTGCTCCTAATTCACCCCTTAGACTTGAACTGAAACCAGGTTCTTGAAGTGAGTTTAGAAGGATGCCCCATTTCAATTTAACCCATTTGGGTGTCATGGATAAGGAAAATTCATAAAAGGTGGAAGGGGGGGTGCTCCCATGCATTCTGTTTTCTGCTTCTGTAATGAGAGCAGCTCTGACCTAAGCAGTTCTCTGATTTTTACTGTCACTCCAGGTTAATTCTAGTTTTCTGATATTTACTTTAATCTAGTATTTTCCATTTCAGTAGGCTTCATCTTCTGTCCATTTCTATATATATTTGGATGTTATGGCAAATGGTTGCTAAGTATTTTTTCAAAACAGTGTTATTAATGGAAATGTGAAAAACAGTGTCTCCATTGTACTCCGAGAGTATTTTAAATCTTCCAAAATTCAACTATGAGTGTGTGAAACTGCCTTCCGTGGAGTTAAGGTCATTGATTCATCTGGCACAGAGCTCCCTTTAGGGTCTCATGGAGATGTCTTTCCTTTTAACTGAAGGTATCTATGCATGAACTTGGGAGCTTGTTTTACCATTCAGCTGTGGACCCTTCCCTGAATGTAACACATGTTTATTTGAATGAACACTCCATTGCTGAATTTAGTCTTTCTTTCATTTTATTATAGTTCTGAAAAGCAACGAGGAAAAGTTACGTCCATTTACCTGAATCCTTTTCATGATGCTGCAGACCTTGATAAGGAAAAGGAGATCACATTCCTCCTAAAAGAACTGGACATTCTAAGAGCAAGCAATGAAAAGGTGTGATGCAAATAATTTATTCTAAGCCAGCCTATTAATCTCCCTTAACTTCACTTTTATCGTTGATTGAAAGATACAGCTTTCTGTTCTTCCTGGGGTGCTACTTTATGATTTGATGAATGATTTGTTAACCTTAGGATATTCTCTCTGTCTGCCTTGATGAGCTTGTTGTTTTAAATGAGTAACATTGCACATATGGTGTGTCCATGTCAGTTAGACTCCTGTTATCTGGATGAAGGCTCCTAGAAAGGTATAACTCCTTCAGGACTTGCTGGGATTCAATTAAATGCACTGAATGCCATGGATTAGACTGGTCACGAAAAACCTCCGTAGAGCAATGGAAGCTCTCTGGTTTGCACTGGTGATGAAGTGATTCCTTGTAGATCACAGGAGCTTACATGTTGGCAATACCAGTGCAGCTTCTCAGTGTGATTGGTCTATCCAAGCTCTTCAAAGTCAGATAAAGCATCAGCCAAATAATTTGAGCATGCTTAGTTGTATTCACAGCTTTGTAAATATCTTAATGATGTTCTGTTACTCAAATGTCATTGTAGACTGTTGTTGAATCTTTTTCTGGCCCATTATGTCTCATGGGATTAAAATAAAAATTAAGAAGAAATGGATCAGACATGGCTTTTGTAGGCCTTGCTGCTCAAAAATATGACTGCATTATACTTTTATGCAAAATAGTCATAGTATGGTAGAGTTGGAAGGGACCAAGAGACCTATCAAGTCCAACCTGCTCATTGCCTTCAGTGTGGAGAGCCTAGGCAATTAGTTCCATTGCTCAAACAGTCAGGAGGTTCGTCCTGAGGTTCAGCTGGAACCTGCTTTCCTGTAACTTGAGCCCATTATTTCGTGTCCTGTACTCTGGAAAGAGATCCTGCCCTTCCTCTTTGTGATAGCCTTTCAAGTACTTCAAGAGCGCTGTCAGTACCTCATTCTTCCCTTCTCAAGGCTCAACATGCCCAGTCCTTTCAACCTTTCCTCATAGGGCTTTGTTTCCAGTCCCTAAATCATCCTTATTGCCCTCCTCTGAACCCTTTCCAGCTTCTCTGCATCTTTTTAAAACTGTGGTGCCCAGATCTAGACACAGTATTCCAGCTGAATCCTAAACAGGGCTAAGTAAAGAAGAACAAGTACTTTATATGATTTGTAAGCCATGCTTCTATTAATACAGCCTAAAATAGCATTTGCTCTTTTTGCAGCTGCATCACAGGGCTGACTCATATTCGGCTTGTGATCTACAACAGTCCCAAGATCCTTCTTACTTGCAATATTGTTGATCTTGGCATTTGTCCCTATAGACTTTCATTCTGTCATTTTCAGCCAAGTACTCTAGCCTATCAAGATCACCCTGAATCTTGTCTTACAGGATAACAGCTATCCCAATTATCTCCACTGGGATGCAAGTCTTATTTTTAAGTGTTGCTTTCAATGCTGTTATCCTTTTGCTTTCAATGCTTTATGGAGTAGTTGAAATCTGTAGTAAACAGAGCTTAGTAGCTTAATGCTTAACTTTCATAGCCATACTATTATATTTGTACAAGGAATTGGATACTGGATTGTTAGCTGCTTCTTTCTCCTCCTTTTCTTGAAAAGAGTAGTGATCCATTTGGGCTGAACTGTACACAATCTCTGAACTTGAAATACAGTTTCTGATGTGCCATGAGGGCTGCTATTTGGGTGAGGTTAGGGGCAGGGAATGAGGCAATCCAGTTACTTATGTGGAACTGGCCTTTTGCCACCTTTGGATTGTGTTCTGTCTCGAGGTGGGAAGCTTCCATCTGGAACTGTGCCTCCGCACTTGAATGCTCCATCATGCAAATTGTGGAATGAGCATTAGCACACTCCTTGGACACATCCTGTTTGAGGCTGTAGTCTTATGCACTGCCCCACTGAACTCGGAAGTCCTTCATGCTTAGGACTGCCCTAAATGGATCCTATCCTTCTACCTGTGTCCCTGCATGCCAGTGTTCCCCAAACTGGTGCTTGCTGATGTGTTGAACTACAACTCCCACTGTCCCCAGCTGGAAGGGCAGGACAATAGGAATGGTAGTGCAACACATCTTGAAGGTTGGGAAAGTGTGTAGCTGTGTACTAGAAATGATAATTTTGGAATATTAAACTGGAGGACAGAGTGATTGCATTTCTTAAGACAATGAGAACTAATTGAATGGAAGCAGACAACACCTTTCTTGCTTCTTTTCAGCTGCCTTTTACATTGCACCCCTTTTAAAGAACCTAATAACTATTTTATTATAGAGTGAGCATTTGCTTTATGTGCAGATGATAATCTTACGGCCTGCTTGTTCAATTCAGCTTCAGGATCGCCTGTCTGAAAAGGACAAGGAGCTGAGGACAATAAAGCTGGATTTGGAACTGTGTGAGAAAGAGGCAGAAGCCAAGATTGCGGGAAAAGCTGCAGGTATGGCAGAGGGAAGTTTAACAGATGGCCCACACAGTTCATACTGTCCTCTGGGCTTGCTACATGGCGTAGCTTAATGAACATGAGACATATTTACTAAAGGAGGAACAGTTTGCCTTTTTTATGTGCGTCTGTTTAAAGTCGCTTAGAAAATAGGTGGCTTTAACATCCTGGCACCAGTATTAGAGCGAGCTTTACCTGTATTCATGCTGATTTGGGCATTAAATGCATTGTTAACACTATGTCAATCCAATCACAAAAAAGGTTGTTTGTTTTGTTGGAAGGTCCTGAACAAACAAGGGAAATAATGATTACCATGGCCACTACCTTTCAACCAGCAGTTCAAATACTTGCTTATTGTTTTAGTGGCTTCTGGGTGATGCTCTTGTCCCTCCCTCACACACCTTTGTTTGGAGGTTCTCCTGGGTATTCCTCAGCTGCAGAACTAAGAAAACTGATTTTTTACCCACTGTATAAATCTTGTTGGAGGAATATGATGGATCTACAACTCTAAACAGAAAGTGGTTGATGAAATGGCTAGACTAATAAATTGTGTGTGTTCTAAAGTTTCTCATGTGCGTACATAGTCACAGCAGTATCTCGATGTGTTAACCTCCTAATATAAATTACATTGTGCTAGCAAAGATCCTGTAGCTAATTTTGTATTTAGTTATTTAAAACTAACGCAGTTGGTGCTCTGCTAGCGGCCCCCTATGTCAGCACAATAATTTCAGTAGGATACTACCCATTATTAGTACTTCCTTTGAAAGTTTTGCAGACTATTGTGAGCTACACAGATTTGTTATGAAACCACAATATGGATAGCCAGGATGTCTGAAATAGAGATGGGAATGCAGTACATCTTGCCACAGAATGATGGATGGTGAGGAAAAACGTTGTACCATTATTAATAAGGGTAATTCTCATCATCAGAATCCTGTACAATAGAGGTTTAACCACTGTGCAGTAGATCTGTTAGCATACGACTGCATCCATCTCTTTGGCAAAGTGAATGTAATGGAAGCAAGGAAGATAGAATGCATTCTTCTATTGAAAAAATGGATGGCTTTCCACAGTGTCAATAATCCATGTTTGTGTCTGTGTAAGAGATTACCAAGACTTTAAAATAGGCTGGTCATTCTGAAACACACTGGCAGAACCCTAAATATTTGCAACACAAAATATATTTACCATAACCCTATAGATTTTTTTAAAGAACTGATTCTGAATCTCTTGCCTAGACCATAGTTACATCTTTATCTACCAACTAAGCATTTACAGTATGTGAACTCTTTGGATTAAATTCCAAGTTATATGTTTGTTTTGGGGATGTTTGCACAGAGTTTTACTTCTGTGTATATAATAGTGAAATATTTTATTCAGTATAGACTTCCCTTCTCATTGAAGCCCATGGAGGAAAACTGTGCATAAAGAGCACATGTGCTTGCCTCCAGCAAATGCATGTGCAGAAGTGGCATCTGTAAGGATGGCCCCAAGGATAAGATCCTGCATGCTGCTTGTGAGGGATCAAGTGTCCTGTACCTGGGTGTTGTTTATGATGTATCATTTGCTGAAACCGGTAGAAGTTACTCCGATCCATAAAAACTCAAAGGTACCTTTATTTTAGATACCTGTGGTTTACATTCAGTTAGTTTAGCTTTTTCTTTGTAAGTTCATCATATGTGCTGTGATTTTCTATGATAACCTAGAGTGAATTACCGCATAACTAGCTTTCAACTATTTAATAAGCTATTAAACTGCAAAGATAACTTAGATGTTTATAATTATGTCTTGCTATATTTCATCTTTATATTTTGCTTTTCTATCCAGCTAGTTATCTCCAGATAGATGAATGGCTTGCAATCTTATCTTACAATTGCAATAGTGATAAACTCATTACAGAAGAGTATATATTATAACAACAGGTACTGGGAGACTGCATTGTAAAACTTGACTGTGCACTTTGAATTTCAAAGATTATTAAAATACTCAAATTGCCAACTAAAAAAGCCTTGCTAATATGAAATTGACAGGAAGGAGGCAGGGTGCAAAATCCAGAGGAAAGCTAAGCCTTAAATATTAAGAACCAAGTAAAATTCAATTTTGTACCACATTTTATTGTGTATAATGCAACTTTTCTAAATATTAGCTCTCTAAAACAAAGTTACATATCTGTGTGAAGGTGGGGAACATGCATGTAAGACGTTTTATCATATCAGGCATTTTATCATTGTACCAGCTTCACTATTGATGAGGCAGTCTGCACCTGCAATTTAAAACTAGCATGGCTTTTTATCAGTGCAAATATCTCCAATGAAAACTTTCTGCCTTGTGTTCAGTCTCCAGGGCACATGTCTTCTACTCTTGCTAGATTGCTCCTGACATTTGAGAAGAGGTTAAGAGGAGGAAAGAGTGTAATGGAGCAGATAGAGGAATAAAACAGTCCCAGGATGGGAAAATGTGCAGTTATCATACGCAGTACAATGGCATAGGTCTGAGATTCTGATGGAATCCTGGGACAAGGATGTTTTACTTCAGCCTGGGATGTATATTCAAGTCTCAAGCTAGTTAGCCATTCACTAGGCAGCTTTAGATCAATCCCATTGCATTCTATATCTGGGGGAAAGTGGACATGACAGTGACTTTGGATGAGGACGAATTGAGATTGCATACTTTTTCAATAAAAGAAGAGGTTCAAAAATGTTGGATCATTGTATTCTTGCATGGTTTATGTAAAACTTGGACATAATTGGGTCGGCTCTGTCTGTAGTCGCTTTCTTTTGAAATGCTGGGACTTGGTTTAGGAAAAGCGGTCAATTAAGCCAGCTCAGTTTTGTGGCCACTAGAGGCTGCTGTTCCTTCTTTGTGGTTGGGTGTTAGAGATCACCTCTTGGTAAGGTTCCTTAGCTTGCTGGAGTGGAAGGAAAGAGGTATGTGTCAAAGCTGTGAAAGATGGGAAATATAATTGCCATAACTGGGGTGAAGAACAGGAACACACTCTGGCAATGTGAGAATATGAGGAAAACATACAGAGAGCAGTCCTGAAGAGTATCTGAGAAAAAAAACTGTCAGAGATACCACTGGGGAGGCACAAAAGGTTGAAGGAACCACCATCAATATGCCTCCTGCTAAAGACAATGAATGGAGATAGATGAATGATTGATGTGAGCAAACAGAAATTAGAAGTATTTTGTCTGATATATGCATGTTCAGGTTTTCAAAATACCAGGCAGTACATATATATATATATATATATATATATATATAAAATTATATACATATACGTGTGTGTGTGTGTGTGTGTGTGTGTGCACGTGTGTGTGTGTGTAAACAGTATGTTATATAGCTCTGGAAAATAAAGACCTGCCAGAAATCACAAGAAATATGAAAATGTTTGAAAGAAACTAAAATCCAGGCAGGTAATATTTTGTGGAAGAACATCTGAAAAGAATGTGGAGTTATCGCTTTTAACTTTGATCATGATGCCCAGTTGACAAAAGGCGCTGACTGCACAGTCATTTATTAAGTTTCCTAATATTATGACTTACTATGACTTATGACTTATTAGGACTTAAATACACTGTTTAAAAGTATATGTTTGCCTTGTCGGTAATAGCAATCTCACATTCTTGAGCATGCAGAGAGCCCACTAAAAGCTGGTAACCTAATCCCTGAAGATGGCACAAGTGTTTAACCAGTGAATATAGATTTGGACATAGGAGACCTTAGTTCAGATCTTATCTGAGATCTAAATCACAAATGATGGTCTCTGAAATGGGAAGAGGAAACGCTTACTACTAGTATTAGGAAGACCAGAACTATGAAATGTTTTCAAATAAAATGTGCTATTTTAAAACCTTTAATATGCATGCAAAATTGTATTCTCTCCCAGTTGATTGTGCAGTGAAAGAGAGGCTGTTAGGGTAATACTTAGCTCAGAATCAGCAACACTCTCTAAAGAAACTCTGTCAAATATTTCTATTAATAGTAACATCGAGTGATTGATTGATTTACATCCGCCACTTCTTTATCATTCAATTAACAATGCCCTCTGGACAGTTAACAGCAAATGCTAATTGCCATAAAGTTAATCAGAAATATGAATCTGACAGAATGTAAGCCACATGCAGTGCAAGACTGACTAAAGGAAAAATAAAGCCAGCCAACAAAAAACACTAGAATACTAGCATTAACAAGAAACCATTGCATGCAGCACTCTGCATTTTAGAGTTTTCAGAGGGCTTTGCCTGTGTTTGTCTCAGTAATGTCTGCAGCCTCTGTAGGGCAGGTTATTCTCTGGCTATAGACTGGTTTGGGGAGGGGTCTGAGGCTAAGGGATGGCTTCACAGCAGAAGCAAATATGAGCCAGAGGCTTCTACAGTGCAGTAACTCTTAGAAATAATATTTCCCAGCCAGTGGTTGAATAAATTGGAGTTTAACCTCCTTCCCTTCAAGCATAAGCAAGACCTCTTTAACCACGTCCTACTCTGCTTCCAATCGTTAATTAAAACCAATGTTGAATTAGGCAATAGGGTTGTCAGTATTTTCCTTGTAAAGCAGCAGTGCTGTGTATAGTCCTGAACCTCCTTGACAGGCACCCTTTGCTGTATTTTTGCTACACTTGCTTTGGTATCCTTGCTTGATGAGGATTGTTTTCTTTTCCTAACAATTTTATTAATTTGCTTACTTAGGCATTTTAATCTGCCCAATTTGGCAGATAACAAACTGTTAAATTTAAATAATGAAATACCATAGAACAGTTAAAATATACAATGCCATGCAAATATTTTGAAGAATAAGATGCAATATAATGCAAAACAACAAACTGCACAGGAAATAATGAAACAGCCACAATAAGCTAGACTTGCAAGCTTCTAAAATATCTTGCAGAAAGAAAGGATTTTGCCTGGTGCTAAGAGATAACAATATAGTTGTCAAATATAGGAGCCAGTAACTAATCTCAGGATCAAATATGCATTAATATAAACTTCCTTTCTAAT